CAGTTTTAAGCCTCCTACACAGCTGTTTCTGTTTCAGTTAATGACTATGTTTCAACCTACACATGAAACTGATGATCATTAGTACCTGTTTGGTATAATTGGTTAATCATACACCTGATTAACTGACTCTAATCCTACAAGATCCCTGACTTTGTGCACGTGTACAAAGTGTGCAAGTATAAGAACTGATGCTGGTTTGAAGCCAAAGGATAGTCACACCAAATAATGATTTGATTTAGATTTTTCTTCTGTTTGCTCACTTTGCATTTTGTAAATCAATAAACAATTACAATATATATTTTTGAAAGCATTCTTTCTTTACAGCATTTTTTCACACCTAAAACTTTTGCATAGTACTGTAAATCTATTATTTACAGTAATAAAATTAATAAAATGTAAGATTTAATACAAGCTAAACTCAGAGAAAGTAAAAACAGAGTAAAAAGTGTAAAGAAAGAAAAAAGGAAAAAGAAAAGGAAAAGGAAAGAGTGAAATTTAAAAAAAAGTAAAGAAATATATAAAGAAGTGACTTCCAATCTTCCTTACAAGTATAAACAAGTTTGGTATCTCTTCACCCCCTATAAGGTTACAAACAGTTCTTCCCGTAACTTGTCTATAAACAAATCCATAAGACATCAACTTTTCAATCCTGGTGTCAGCAAAAAAGTCCATAAAGGGTTGCCAGAATTTCATAAAAACATGTCTTATTTTAACCTTGATCAAATATACCAACTTTACATTCCTTTTACTTCTGAAAATCTTAATATTTAATTCATTCAAATACTGTCATAGGATTTTATCTCCAATTCTTCTTTGCCCCATCGCATAGGCTTCTTTAAGAAGCCTCTTTTGTAAATCCAATAAACATACATTATCCAGGTCATTCTCTTGGTTTAATATCTGTATTTCCCTTTTAATTTTTTAAAACTTCAGCCAGCTTCTTTTATATATCAAGTAAAGAGTCCTTTTTGGGGTCATTCTCTTGGCCTGTCACTTGTATTTCCACTTTAAATGCCTTCTCTGTCTTGTAATCCACACTTTTTTTTAATCCAATATTTCTGATTCTACTATTTCTGCATCAAGCAATATATGTTTCACATCTGTCAATCCTTCATTAACATCCTTTAGACAAAGTTTATCCATAGAAGCTGATATTGTGGGCTACTACTAATTTCTGGCCCCATTCTTCAAGTATCTCCTTTAATATTTCAAATGTTACAGTGTTTTGTGTCATTTTGTAAATCCCAATCCTAATCAAAACCAAAGGCAGGTTTGTTGGTTTTTTTTGGCCTGGACTCTTTAGTTTCCTCTAGTGTCCAATTTAAATCATACAGTCTCTAATCTCTGTTATGACTTACAGTAGACAAAATAATTTTGGTTCCTGTGAAAAGATGATTATTTTATACAGTTAGTTCCAAAATCTTATAGTAAAAGTTTCAATATTCCAAATTTGTCTAGACCCTTAATTCGTTTATAACTTTCTTGATTCAAAATCTTATTTAGCTTTTTGCCATTTATTTCAAATTCTTTATGCCCTTAAACGTATAGTTAATTTTTCTTTTGTTTAGAAATGAAGACTCACCAGGTAGCTTTTCAAACTTGTCATTCCAAAGATCTCTAATAGCTTTAAAATGGTTAGATAGGCAATTTCTGAGAATTATTAGAAGCAAGTTTAGCAAATGTAGTGTCCTTTAAAAGGCTCCACTGCAGTTGTGAGCTTGATGATTAATCCCTTCATCTCCTGGTACTCAAGCGTGTGAGAGAGAGCTATCCTGCAGCTGTCCAGAGCACATGTGGGTGATCTCCTGTCCTCTCCTTCTCCGGAGAAGTTCTGAAGAACTAGTCTACTCACTGGCTCTTCGGTCTTTGCCACTGTTGTTGTCTCCAATCTCCACGGAGACGTATTTAGTTTGCCATGCCTCCACCTGAAATCTGTATTTCTACAGTTCTAAGATGTCTCTGAACAAGTGTACACAGGCAAATTTGCACATGCACGTGATTAGAAGAGCTGGTACTACTAACACCTAAACCTAGAACTGAAGGAACAACAAGTGTGGAAAGTCATCATATCTCCCACAAATGTATTCTTGGGTTGGAAGTGCTCTTTGCAGCATTCAAGATTTCTATTCATTTGGATGATTCAACAAGATGATTAGACAACTCACAGCAAATTATCTATGGATATTATTGTTTCTTATATGGAATGTCAAATTATAAAAACAGTATGCCAGTAAGCTCCAATAAGACCATAGTGACAGAAACATTATATTACCTTCAAGGGATTTTTGAATGCAATTGGTGTTTTACTATGGCCATTTTGCATGTTTTGCTAAGCCACAATGAGGTTTAATTTTGGCTTTATGTGAACCCATTGTGGTTTACCGGTTAGTATGTTAATGTGTGTGTTAGTATGCGAGCCAGTTAATGTGAAACAGAAAGCTGTGTTATATTCATAGATCCAGCAGGGGTCTTTTTATAAGTATGAACCCATTTTTTAACAAAGGGCTCCACAATACTAAGTTGCATGCCAAAGGCCATATTCTAAAAATCTGAACATATTATGGGTATTTAATTGTAATTAACATTCAATTTATTAAACATAGATAATATTTTATTGTATTCAGTTTCCCCATCTGTTGTATTAAAATTAGAATTTAACTTTTGGAATGACCCTAGGAACTATACACAACACTTTGGCAGGCTACATATGGACCTGTGACACCAAATTATGCACCTATTTTATACTTCTGGAAAGTTGGAAGGGAGTCTTCAACACTTTTGAAAATCTAAATATTTTAGATTTTTTTTTTAGTTTTGTAGTGGATAAAAGGGATTAAGCTTTATTTTTATTATTAAACTTATATGCCACCTGACTCCCAGCAAATTTTGAGAGGCCACAGACCTTTAAATTTTCTCAAATCATAGCTACTGTAATTACAAGAAGGGGTCAGAATTTGAGGAAAAGGAAATTAGAAACTTCTTTGCTGTCAGATATTTGGCTTGGGGTCCCTATGGAAGCTGGGACATAAATGTGTCTTGATGTGACTGGGCCCAAGGATGCAGGTCTAGAGCCTAGAATACTGTGTGGAAATAGAAACATATGAGTAAAGTTGTAAGGAAACATTTAATTCAATTGCATGAGGATTAAAAATATCTTCATGCTGCATGGTCAAATTTGGGTGATAATGTGTTCAATTCCTTTCTTTCCTATCTTGATTGTTCAGATTATTTTCAGATTATTAAATGCTGTTTTGGAAAGCAGATCTGAGTCTCATGTATTTTGTTGCAGTTAAACTAGCATCTCAAATCTCTACTCCGCAGCTTTTATTCAACCAAAAATCCTTCCTTTCTCAGTTACTTCAGTGTTGAGTTTCTAATCTACCATCATCTTCCCCCAATGCCCTTGGACCTGGTAACTTCAGTAAAACTGGAGCTATCCATTTAAAAATTTATCCCTGGAGAAGGGGGATTTCCTGTCCTGCCCTATCCAGAATCTAGGTGCAAGGGACATTTCCCCATTCAAGAACAAGCGGTAGTAGCATAATAACTTACCCAGGATGGAACTCCTTCACCCAGGGGAATAGTCACAAGTAGATATCCTAGTACTCAGGAGTATTAGAGTGGAGATGCCAAGGGACTTTGGCTGGCTGGTCTGGGTGCTGGTGATAGGTCCCCTTCAGCTTCCTTCTACCATTCCCTGGGCTACATCTTCCATCAAAGAAGCTCAACATAACATAAATCAAATATGCAAGGATTTAGTACTACGTCACCCTCCCCAATCTGGGCCCTCCAGATGTGCTCAAATTCCCAGTTCTGAGAAATGCTCTTCTGCATAATTCTTTCTATGTATGAAGACAATGTCCAAACAGAATAAACCTGGATGAATCCTTGGTGGTTCTGAAAAAGCTAAGCAGGGTTTGACCTGGCTAGTACTTGGATGGATAGGACACCACTACGAAATACCAGGATCATTGGCTAGATTGGGAAGTAAATAAATATCCTAGAAGAAAGCAATGGCCAACCACTTCCATGAGGTTGCCAAGGCATAAACAAGTCCATAAAGCCACCAGGACTCAAGCTTGATTCAAAGGAAACTTTACTTTTTACAAACTGTTAATGAAATGCTTTTTCCCTCCAAAATTGCACTGCTTAAGTCATCTTTATAGACAGGACGAACACAAACCACTGTAATCTGCAGTGCACCTGTCGAGGACAAAGTAAACAAAAGTTTTGACAGAAAATTTTTAAACGTTTTGGAAGTGGGTGAAGAGGGCCAAATATGGAGGGCCAAATAATCATGTGATTGCGGGGACTCTGTGACAGCCACAACTATGAG